AAATTTTCTAGCAACAAATTGTGCTAACATCGAGGATACATCAAGTGATAAAATGAAATTAGCTATCTTTTTAATATATATATATATATATTAGAAAAACTCGAGAAAAACTTATTATGTACACAAAACAAGAATTTTCTTTTGAAGAATATTATAAAATTAATTGCAGAAGTAAATTGAATTTATTTTAATTTAATAATTTTGATTGAAGTATTGAATTCACTTGGATTCTAAAAGATTTTGAATCAATTTGGTGCTTGTGATGAACTTATGTGATGGATTTGCGGACGTAGGAACTTTTGAAATACTTGAAACATTTTTGTGTGCAATCTGTATTATAGTCGAAGTTTTGATTTTGTGCGTCAGAATTCTCTGTTGATGCTGGCGTCAAAAGACTTGTAGATTTCACGGCTATTCGTCGGCTATTCGTCGTCGTTGACTGTTGTAAACGAGCTTTCGAATGCCCTCCGAAGACCCCTCTACCTCTCTTCTCCATCCGATTACGAAGATCCATCGTTCGCTACCGATGAAGCTGCCATCGATTGTCACGACCGGACGATTATTACCCTCGACATATTGTGTCCGTGTATCAGGTCCACCACAGCGATCAATTTCACGGGAACCGACGTTTGTCCGCCGTCACACATCTCGTCCCCGATTTATAACCCCGATCTTTTATTCCAATCTCCGAGATGCATTTGCGTTGCCAAATGCGGCTTGCAAGAGAGTTCTCTCGAAACATTCAATTAAGGATGATATTGTTGGAAGAAATTCTCTTGAAGATTTTTAGCTATTTTTAGTCTTATAAATTTTTTTACTAAAAAAAAAGAGAGTAAATTTGTAAAGAAATTTTATGACCGAAGACATCTCGTTTTGTCGCGTTGTCGAACATAGCGTTGGATTTAATCTTAACTTTTTTAAAATTTTGACACAAAAGTTGACGTAGACCGAACAGAAAAATATTTACAAAACATTTGAAAATTTGTAGACATGGTTGTAGTCAGACCAACGTGACGAAGCTACATATATTTCCTTTCCCTCAGAGGAAAAATAAAATATTAAGCGAGAATGTGTGCGTCAGATCGAGCTTCGGAAATCCGGTCACCGGGGAAATTCCCGGCAATACTTTTCTCCAATGTGCCAACTGTCGAACTCATGGAAAATAGTCCAATTGATACTGCAAAGGTGGACCTGTGTCGAAACGATAAAACAGTGTGAAAAGGAGAGAAGGAGGAGGAGGTGGTAGTTCATTTGAGGTGCGTGCGAGAAAGCGGAGAACGGAGAGCGGTCGTTTTGTATCACGTGAATCGCAGAGACGAGACGAGACGAGACGAGACGAGACGAGACGAGAGACAAGCACAAGTTAGGCGAGTTTGGGGATTGCTGTGCGCGCGCAAGGGGGAATCGTCGTGACATGAATAATGTATCGTGAATATTGTAGCCGGTCTCGAGACAGCTGCTGTCAGTGGCCAATTACAGGCGGCTTATAAAACAAATAAATCGATCAGCTGAGTGATTGCGCATAAATTAAGAGCGCGGCCTTTGCTCGACCTAGCCGGCTCTCTAGAAGTCGAACGAATATCGTTGATATCGTAGTCGTCTTCTTGGATGCTCGGATGTATCGAATGGATTGAATCACGCGGAAAAATCTCGTTGAACGTTGGTTAAATCGAAGGACGTCGTTCAGTTCAATTAAGTTCGTCGAGGAAGTCGATTAATTATCCAAGGCTGTCAGGTGACGATTTATGGCACATGCATCAGAAAATCGCGATTTACGCACTTTCTTGCTAGTTCTGCGAGAATTTTAATCTTTTACTCGCAAATCCAATTATGTTTATCTACATTAAAGTACATTGACATATTTAAAATATCTACTGCATATTTCATTTTAAATCTTTCTATTTTAACAAGACGTTGAATAATTCAACAATTTATTTTCTTATTTTGTGTGAGTGTGAGTGTGAGTGTGCTATATTATTTTTATTTTTCTTTTGTAATATAGGCTTAAGCTTCAAGGCTTCTTATTGTTAGACAAGGCATTACGCTACTTCACCTGTTGAGGTGCATCTTTTCACCTACTTTATTTTTTACTGTACATTAATGCTTTCTTCGTTATTTTGCACTTTAAAATAAAGATTGCTATTATTAATTCTAACAATAAGTGAAAAAATATAAAGTGCAAAAATTGTGCGCTTGCAAATTTAGTTAAAAAAAAAAATGAAATAATTGCATGGACTCGCAAATGGCTAAACAAGTTTGAAGTGTCGCGATTTACACGTGCACAAAGGCATTCGTTTCCCAGCGTTGGGCTTCAACGACAAGTTTGCATGAAAAAAAGGGCGTTTTGCAGGCGCAGTTATAACACGTGGCCGGGAAATAAATGTCGTAGTAAGACAGAGAATCCAATAATGTCGCTCCCATTAAACGTCAACGGTACGTAATTACTTGGAGGCTCGTTGCAACAAAAATCAATCGTTCTCGCGCAGCGACAGCAAAGTGACTGTGCACGTGAGAGAATAGATTGAATTTCTGAGGCAGAGCTCACTATTAGAGCTAATGCCTTATTCCTAATCGATATATACCAGTTTCTATGCATACAGGAAAATATATATATTTAAATATTAACTACTTGTTTTCAGTATATTAATTACTCGTTTCCAGAGAGTATTTCAATAGTTTGTATATCCACAAATCTATCATAAGTTTATGACAATTTAATTTATTTAAAATATATTCTGAATTTTAATAAGTTTAATACTTCAATCAAGGTTATTAAATTATATAAATTCAATTTTATTATATAAAGTCTTTCTTTGATAAAATTTTATAATATTATTCAAAAGAAAATAAATTCTTTAAGTACATCATAATGTAACGAGTAGATTTAATGAGTCTTTCTGAAAATTGTAATAAATACATTTTAAGATTATTATAAAAAAAAAAATTCTTTATTAAAGATAACTGTTATTTAAAAGAAATAATAAACATTGAAATTTTAGGTAATTTTAGTAAATTTAAATTTGATTTAGTAATAAACAAAAATGATATATTTATCTATATGTAATCTATTAATTTCTGACATTTAGTTTTATAAATAAAATTTTATTAAAACCTATTCTTCTTTATACACAATATAATGAACGGATTAGCGTTAATGAAAGTACATCTGCAATGCGAGACTAAAATATCCTTTGTTTTCTCTCGTCGAAAAAAATTGCATATTTAGTTTTTAAAACACTGTACACAACACACGCGTATCACATTTGTCTTTTCGTGATGAAATATTGCAAGAGATTCGAGGAATATACGAGCGAACAATTTATGTCGAAGTTTAAATTTCTATTTGCTGCTGGAAAAATCTCGTTAAGCTTGAAGAATATTTAGCTTTCGAATAAAAGAAGTCATTTTAGAGACGTTTCACTAGTATTCTGGTATGCTCATAAATACCGCCGTAAAAAGACGGAGCAGTATTCTTCGAGTTTCCATTGCTGGATACAGCTTTGTGTTTTGCGCTCGGAACAGCATCTCTCTGCTTGTCGTACAATTTCTACATCCTACGCTACCGCAAGTCGCGTCGGTGTGCGATAGGACAAATGTGTGTGTGTGTGAGTACCTGCAGTATCGCGTATATATATTCAGGTATCACGTACGAAAGTAATTTGGCGGCAAATAGTGGCCGATTTCCGAGAAGCTACGACCTCACAAACGGCGACTGTATTTCGCTCGAATTCCATCGTCGTAATTAAAGCTCGCTCGACGTTCATGACGTTGTAAGTTGCCGCGAAAATGCCAGGAAGGACGATTCACAACACCATGTACACTGATATAGTCAAGTTTATGATTCACATCATGCGGGATATGAACCGCTGTATTTTTATATATACTTAAATTTGTAGTGCATTTCTATTTGCCGATATTTTACGTTATGGTTTACATATTCAATAAAGATAAAATATAATAAGTATTTTAAATACTTTGTTGACTATTTTCGTCATACTCGTTTTACTTCTGCAAATGCTAGTTTGAATTATCTTTATATTTTAAATTTGCAAGTTGGAAAATTATTATTTGGACGTAATTTCGTAGCTAATTACACTTTATGTGAGACGTTAAATTTTATCTGCGACTCGAGTTATACCACAGATAGAAATAAAGGCGCACAATTATTAATCATGTGACATACGCGCTCGCATGTCTCGCGAATAAATTCATGTGCCAGGTAGCAAGTCATAGTAACAAGTTTATATGAACGTTCTCGTATCACTGCCTGATCATGCTGTCTTCCAAATATGGCTACAACTGAAGTTTGCGAACACTTTGCGCACAATACGTGAGGCGCAAACTGGTCGCGACCTGTATTCCCAATTTATTCGTGCTAAAGTTCGCAAACAGCTTGTGGACAGCCGACGAGCAGTTATAAAGTTGTTTCCATCGCTTGTTGATATATAGAGCTCTCAGTCCAAACTTCAAAATCCAGGATTGTGTCGTCAACTTTCATTGTCGGGCTCGAAACATTTGTTATTAATTTTGTGTTTTAGACTTTAAATAAAGTTTAAGATTAAAGCTCAATTGAAAAATTAAACGCTGCTTTAAATTAAAGAAAAGAAATTTGTAAAAGTAGGAGAAGTATAATTTGAAATGTTTTATTTTCCATAGTGGAAAGTAAAAAATTTGTGGAGAAGATATATGTATTAACTATCTTAATATGAATTTCGAATTTTATGTTCCCAGATGAGACATTGGCAAAGATGAAACAATCTCCGGAGAGAAAAGGATGAAGCTTCTTCATTTAAAGATCAGATTCAGAATGTCAAAGGATAGCGCACCGTCATTTCCTCAACCAAAGGCAAGGAAATTAAGTCTCGAGTTTAAGGTAAGTAAACATTTTCGCGGCTGCATATCTAAAATTATGTAATCTTAAATTATACCTGTTAAATTTCTTTAAATATCGCGAAGAAGATACTTATATAAATTATTTTTCCATCTCGTCATGGAATATGTCTCCGAAATAAATAATTACGAAGGTATTAATCTTTATATGAACACTGCATTATTTACTCTCTAAAATCTTTGGAGTAGAATTTAAAGACAAATGAGCCTGTGTTGGAAAAAAGTGGCTTACTCGTCAATTTTTAAGAGTGAGATTTCACTCTTTAGAGTTAGATTCCACTTAAAAAATTTTATAAAGTAACTGATCTCTCTCTTTCTCTCTCTCTCTCTCTAATGAAATATTACTTGCACTTCTCGATTAACTGTGATAAGTGACTTTTGAATTATTTGCAATCGGTTTTCTACTAATTGAAATGCTTAATTTTTTATTGATTTTTAATTTTTACGAGTAATTATAGTTAATAAATAATCTTTAAGAAAGAATTCTGAATTACTAAAAGAGTGCTTATCTATTACTTTCTTATCTGTTAAGACTAGAAATGATTAAAAAATATAAAGATATTCTCTCTCTCTCTCTCTCTCTCTCTCTCTCTCTCTCTCTTTCTCTCTGCTTTTATTTAACTAGCATTATTGAAATTTATCAGCATTCTTATGAGAATCTATTTTTGAATTCACATGTGTCATGAAGACAAAACAATTCCTTGCCAAGAAATAATTTATGTAACCGATGCTTCGACGTTATTCGTGTCGATGGTTCCGCTATTAACTTGCTACACAATGGAGCGATTTAACAGGACCTCGTCGCGATTCACGGAAGAAGTGAACGCGTTAAAAGTTCTCTCAACGGTTGGGAGCTTCTTTCCCTCTTTTCTGTGCCACGGCAATTTTCATTCTTTCAACTACGTTGCACGGTAAGATCTTTAATGGCTTCTACGCGGTAGAGAAAACCTTCGTCGCGAGCGCAGAGCGCAGGGAAGGCGCTACGAGATAGAGTTGCCAGATGTCCTGTATATACATGGATTGTCCTGTACTTTAGCTTGACTTTCAGCGTCTTAGTCGAGCTCGCCGAGAAACGCAATTGTCGCGTACTTTAAAGTTTTGGCATTTAATTAAAGTACAACGAGGACATGTGAATATTTTTGGAGTACATATATATATGTGAAGTGTACATGTATATATGTGACGTATACACATATATGCGGAGATTATTATCTTCTGAAATCTTTAGAGTGGAATCTGAGCCTGAAGGATGATAAAGAGTGACAATTGAGGCAGTACTGAAAAAGAGGGGCACAATTGTTAATTTTTAAGAGTAAACTATAAAGTTAGATTTTACTCCAAAGATTTTAGAGAATGTATATAATATATTACTGCAATCTCTTTAGTAAATTGATATACAGGTCTTTTTTAATAAGTCTTTAAAGTACCTTGCAAAAAACGTAAAAAATGATCGATCTGCATATTTCCTGTGTTATTTTGTACCTGTCCTCGAAATTAAAGCACAACGTCTGTTGCATTCGACGAACGGCATCGATCTTCGAAGGAGAACGATCGCTTCCGAACAATTTATTTCCAGTTATACCCGAGCAAGGTTATTACAAGCGAGTCGAGGGCCATTAAGGTGCAAGCAACATCTGGAGTCGCTCCCGTGATTTATATCGACGCGAGTCGAAGGTCTTCATCGATTTTATCGCATCGTCGAACAGGCAGTAGTTTGCGCATCGACCGAAATACGCGCCCGGAAAAATTATAATTGCCGTGGTATAAATCGGGGATTTTTCCTCTTTTATTCTTTATCGATAATAAACCGCGACACGTGCGCGATAAAATGCGAACGTGCGGTTAACTATAACATCGATATCAAGTATCCGGTGTGCTGCGGCCTATAAATCCATGAATTCCCTTTGCGTAAAAAAATATTTAACCAAAAAATGAAAGGCCCGGCAATTGAATTTATGAATAACGTAACGCGACACCGTACTTATTTTTTCTCTCTGTTAATCTCCGAAAAGAGAACAGCCATGTATAAATATTGTAATAAAATTTGAAATTGCAGAAAAAAATTAGAGTATTTCGGCCTAAACACGTAACGTTTTTAATCGCCACTGGAAAGTGATATTAAAGATTAGAATAATTCTTGAAAAATCACGTAATGTGATTTTGTACATTTAATTTTGAAACGGTTTTATAACGGTTAAAAATTATAAAACACGATCGCATTTTATAAATAAATAAATACGATATCATAAAGTTTTCTCTACAATTAATAGAGTTCTCCTAGTATAATTATTTGGAAAATTTTTATGCTACGAAATTAGATATTTTGTACATCATAAAAATCATTCTAAACAATAATCCGTCTTTGGCAAGTCGTGACCAGAAAAGAGCATTACGTAACGAAGAGGCGATTATCAATTTGACGAATGCGCGCTATCTACGATTCTTCTTGTATAATTTATACTTAGTATTCGCTTTATCACCTTTATCTCGCAATGCGAATCAACTACATGGAGTAATGCATTTTACTGTCGGATCGTACGAGCTCACTACATATTTATCGACCGCGACATGATTTGAATATGCGCCGCTGCCTTTAATGCATCCTCATTGCATTACGGTACAGTAGCGAAATCCAGAGATGCTAGAATATGAGAATATGAACCAACTACCGTTATTATGATTTACCATCCATTCCGTAAATTGGTGCAAAGTATCATGAATAGAAAGCAGGGAAGTTATGAGAGAAAGAGTCGACTTATTGAATTGTTTCAGAATTGAATATCTAACTGTGTATTGAATTAAGTAAATTAATTCAATAATTAAGTATATTAATTGTGCAGAAATAGTAAATCAATAGAATAAAAGCCTGCAGATATATAAAAATAATAAATTAATAGAAAGAAGGAAATCGCATTAAACAAAATTATTTGAACTCTATAGAACTTATATTTCTTATATATTCATTGCCACACAAGCCAAAGATATAATATAATAACCGTTTAATATCAAAAACTATATCGTCGCTTTTTAATAATAATCGTCACTTTTGATATAAAGGCATAAAGGTCTGAGAATAAATTTGTAAGAGAGAGAGAGAGAGAGAGAGAGAGAGCTACGTTATGAAAATGAAAACGTGATTCCAACGTTCCGTCTAAACATAGTTTTGATTTATGAACATAAAGGATACGCCTCGTTGCGGAAATAAGCCCATCAATTATGAATTTATGCCGAATCGCAGTAGCCATTGAGCTCATCGAGCGCCAACGGACGCGTCTCTCTGTCTCATTTACGGACAATTAACGCACAGCGCAACGCGTGGAGATTAATAAACACGCGACGCCCACGCGGAAGGCAGACAGAAGGTACGAGACGGGTATAATTTAACGGCGGTCGCGAAGGGGGAGCGTTAATTGAGAATGATCGACTCTCCTCGTCGGCGTGGCGTGGCTCCGCTCCACTCGACGCGGCTGGAACAAATAATAGCAGTCGGATCGAGGCGCGTATCGCATCGTCGCATCTCCCTCGTCTTATTCCGCTGCGCTGCTTCGGCTTGGCCTGGCCTGGCCTGGCGTGGCGTAGCGTGGCGTGGCGTGGCGTGGCGTTTCTCGTGATTCCAATTTTTCCCCCGTGCCGACACGATAAAGAGGCCACTCCACCGCCTCGAAACAAGATTGATCGTGAAGCGTGCTCGTGAGCGCCGCGAGGAAGGGTGCAAAAACACTCGCGCCCACCTGGACTTTCGAGGGAATGTAAGGAGATTAAATTAAATCTGCAATTGAGAGGAATTTTACGGAGTAATTCGTTATTAACTCCTCGAGAAAGAACTAAATTACTTTTGGCATGTTGAGCTCGCGAGAATTTTGTTAATATGTGTTTAAATATATTAATTCTTTATGTAGAGCTGTACGCTGTTAAATTTATAGGGTGAATTTAATCTAATTTAAGTCGCCATTGCTCCTATTCCTATAATATATCGTTAGTTTATACTAAAACAATTAATGGATAAACATATAGTGTTCAAATTTATCCTTTAATTGTTTTAATATAAAATAACGATATATTGAGTGAGAGCAGCCGGTGACTTAAATTAGGTTAAATTTGACGCTAGATTTAACAACGTATAACGCTGTTGATTTATTTATTATGTGGAATATATATACTTCAGAATTATCGTACGATTATTTTTGTCTCCTGTGAATATATATTGATTAATTTCGAATTTTCCTAAATTAAAATTGAAATTGATCAAAGAGTTGTAGATGAAAGAAAATCCGAGAAATCTGAGCAATTTTAAATGTTAAAATTGATTGGAAAAACATGTACTGAGAAAGGATTGAATTATCTTTGAATTCGCGAGAATCTTGTCAATATTTCAAATATGTTTAAATATTTTAATTCTTTATTTAAAACTCTTATACGCTGTCGATTTATTAATTATGTCGAATATACTTTAGAATGATTTTATTATCTAATTATTCTTATCTGCAAATATACATTGCAGATTAATTTACAATTTTCCTGAATCAACGTTGAAATTGATCAAAGATCATTTATCACAGATAAAAGAAAATTCGAGAAATCTAAGCAATTTCAAATGTTAAAATTGATCAGAAGAATTAACGTTGAGAAGAAACCGAATTGTCTTCGGTATGTTGAATTCGCGAGAATCTCGTCAATTATTCAAATGCTTGCAGAAACAGATATGTGTATATACAGAAATATTTAAGCACTGAAATCTGCTTTAATCGAAAAATAGGATTTCTCTTATTTAATTAGATATGTTTAAATATATTAGTCCTTTACTTAGAGCTATATTATACAATGTTGATTTATTAATTATATGAAATCAGAATTATTATTATTATATAGCCATTCTGTCATCAACGAATATACATTAATTTGGAATTTATCCAAACGTTGAAATTGATCAAAGAGCTCGCAGATGAAAGAAAATCTGAGGAATCTGAACAATTCTAAATGTTA